CGCCCTCCAACCCCTACTGACCTCGCCCTCCAACCCCAACGACCTCGCCTTAACCCAATGACCTCGCCCTCCAACCCTCCAACCCCTACGACCTCGCCCTCCCAACCCCTACTGACCTCGCCCTCCAACCCCAACACCTCGTCCCAACCTTTACTTCGCCCCAACCTGAACCTCGCCCTCCAACCCTCTAACCCTACACTCGCCCTCCAACCTCTGACCTCCCCTCTAACCCCTACTGACCTCGCCTCCAACCCCAACGACCTCGCCCTCCAACCCCTACGACCTCGCCCTCCAACCCTTACTGACCTCGCCCTCCAACCCCTACTGACCTCGCCCTCCAACCCCTCCAACCCTCGGACTCGCCCTCCAACCCCTACCCTCGACCTCGCCTCCAACCTCTCCACCTCGCCCTCCAACCCCAACGACCTCGCCCTCCAACCCTTAGACCTCCCCTCCAACCCTACTGCCTCGCCCTCCACCCTGACCTCGCCTCCAACCCCTGACCTCGCCCTCCAACCCCTACCCGCCCTCCAACCCCTACTGACCTCGCCCTCCTCGCCCTCCAACCCCTATGACTCGCCCTCCAACCCCTCCAACCTCGCCCTCAACCTACTGACCTCGCCCTCAACCCCACGACCTCGCCCTCCAACCCCTCCAACCCCAACGACCTCCCTCCAACCCCTACTGACCTCCCCCTCCCAACCCCTACTGACCTCCCCCTCCAACCTACTGACCTCGCCCCTCCAACCCCTACTGACTTCCCTCCAACCCCTCTGACCTCCCCTCCAACCCCTATGACCTCGCCCTCCAACCAACCCCTACTGACCTCGCCCTCCAACCCCTCCACCCCTACTGACCTCGCCCTCCAACCCCTTACTTGACCTCGCCCTCCAAACCCCTACTGACCTCGCCTCCAACCCTACGACCTCGCCCTCCAACCCCTCCAACCCCTACTGACCTCGCCCTCCAACCCCTACTGACCTCGCCCTCCAACCCTACCACCCTCCAACCCTACTGACCCTCGCCCTCCAACCCCTAACCTCGCCTCCAACCCCTCTGACCTCGCCCTCGACCCGCCCCAACCCCTACTGACCTCGCCCTCCAACCTCGCCCTCCAACCCCTACTGACCTCGCCCTCCAACCCCTACTGACCTCGCCCTCCAACCCCTACTGACCTCGCCCTCCAACCTCCTCCAACCCCTACTGACTCGCCCTCCACCCCTCCAACCTCGCCCTCCGACCCCGCTTACCTGGCCCGAAAATAGCAGCCACTCCGGCGTCCCTCAGGAAATCGTAGTCCTGCGGCGGGATGACTCCGCCCGCGATGACCAGGATGTCAGGTCGACCCAGGTCAGCCAGCGCCTTCACCAACTCCGGGACGAGCGTGCGGTGACCTTTAATTAAGCAGGTAATTAAGCAAGTACATAATGAGCAGGTAATTACGTAAGTTATTAAGCAAGTACATAATGAAATGAGAATATACAAAAAAAAAGGAGAAAAAAAAGATGAATGAATGGGAAAACATGGAAAAAAAATAAAAAAATAATATTATCGAATACACCATAAAATACATTTCTCGGATCGATATAATACATTAACATATCTTATTAATCAAGATCAACAAAACAAGTACATAATGAAATGAGAATAAAAAAAAATGATGAATGAATGGGAAAACATGGAAAAAATACAAATATGGAAATCGAAATAAATGATAAAATACATTAATATATTTTATAGAAGCTAATTAAGATTAACAAAACAAGTAAATAATGAAATGAGAATATACGAAAAAAAAGAATGGAAAAAATGGAAAAAAAAATATTAATCGAAATACACCATAAAATACATTTCTCGGATCGATATAATACATTAACATTCTTATTATCAAGATCAACAAACAAGTACATAATGAAATGAGAATATAAAAAAAGATGAATGAATGGGAAAAACATGGGAAAAAAAATACAAATATGGAAATCGAAATAAATTATAAATACATTAATATATTTATAGAAGCTAATAAGATTAACAAAAAACCTTTAATTAAGCATAATACGGAAATGCAAGTACATAATGACACGAGAATATACAAAAAAAAAGGAGAAAAAAATGATGAATGAATGGAAAAAATGGAAAAAATATATTAATCGAAATACACCATAAAATACATTTCTCGGATCGATATAATACATTAACATATCTTATTAATCAAGATCAACAAACAAGTACATAATGAAATGAGAGAATATGAAAAAAATGATGAATGAATGGGAAAACATGGAAAAAAAAATACAAATATATATATCGACATAAACTATAAAATACATTAATATATTTTATAGAAGCTAATTAAGATCAACAAAACAAGTAAATAATGAAATGAGAACATACAAAAAATGATAAATGAATGGAAAAAAAGGAAAAAAAAATATATGTTAAATCGAAATAACCATAAAATACATTTCTGGGATCGATATAATACATTAATATTTCATTG